GCTCGGCCACCCAGCCAGTTTTTAACCGAGCAAAGAATATTTATTAATTCTAAAAGAACTCTAAAGATAAGTCTACCAAGAAGCTGATGTGATAGATGACAGCACCCACCTGAACAAATCTGACAAAGCCAGCTACTTTCTGCAGTAAACCTGTTGTAATAATGAAACCTTCTAATGTTCCTTTAGAAAGAAGTTACTGACTGATTCTCTAAACATTGTCCTGAAAGTCTATGTGTCAAAGACACCAAGATCTAAAGCTACGGTCAAAGTTTATTTGTTAAAAATGTTTTATTTTACAACTAGCAAACATGTTTTATTTTGCCAGAAGGTAAAAAAAAAAAAAAAGACTCCTGCACAATACTTCACTACTTCCTTTATACTTAGTCATATCCTGCTCAGCACATGTCCTCTGTAGTAAAGTCAAAGCAGTGTAAATGGGTTTAGAAAAAATATTTTTCAGACATTGAAGAAAATTAGCAGATTACACTCCAAGAGCACTCTCAGAGAGTGAAATGTCTTAGTAAGAGTCACTTAAAATCTATACCTAATAATTTCACGTCCTTGAGTTTTGTGTATTCTTCTGCATCACTGATCAAGATGGATAAAAAACATACTGAAGAACCATCACTAACTTCCATGCGGCTCCAAAATTTCCGTACTGAGATTTAATTGCACGTTGCCACAGTCAGCACTTAACCTCACGGAACATTAGGAGACAGAAGCTTTTCTTACCAGCTTATTAAATGCATCTTAGAATCATAGAATCACTATGGTTGGAAAGGACCTCTAGGATCATCAAGTCCAGCCCTCATCCCAACATTTCCCTAACCACTAGACCATCACCTCAGGTGCTACATCTTAAGCAATCACTTACTAGTTTCGTTTTGTAGAGCAGCTTCTTCTTTTTCAATTGTTACCAGGAGATTTTCAGTGAAGTCTGCTCTTTTGCCCACAATAGCAAAGCCATTCCAGACATACATCATTTCCTGAAAAAAAAAACAAAACAAAACAAAGCAAACCCAAAACCTCACGTAACTGAATAAATATTTAATTAAGGCACATCCCTTGGAAGGCTGTTAAAGAACATTTTAAGTATACAAAAATATTGCCTACAAAACTTGTTTTAAGCAGTAAGAAATGTTTCAAAGCCACTCACTGTTAAGAAGCCCATAAGTAACATTATCTGTACAATTTCAAATAACCACTCACAATGAGTATGGGACATTCTCAGTTATATGCAAGACTACAAAGACAATCATGTTTGCTCTAATAATAAATTAATTAAAGTTACATAAGATTCTCTGTGCATTGGGGATGCAAAATAACATCAAATGTGCATGGACAAAGCTAACCTGGGTTTCTAAAGTTTTGAATATTTTAACACTTTTTAATGGATTCTATCATGTATTTTCATAGATTTTTTAAAAAGGAAACTGGAGAGATTTTATCACATCACAATTTACAAACACCCATGTAACACGTCAGCAAAACTGGGTATTTTAAGTTCAACTTTGGCCTCTGCCATATGAACTTATGAAGCAGCTGCAAGTAGTTACTTTCTATGGGATTATAAATAAATCTATATAGGTATTTTTGGATGTGTGCATGTATATACAGTATACATACATATTCATGTACCCAAACACACTCATGCATGTTTTTATATACAGATGCTATAATCCATAGGCTGTTGCCTTCCATATGGAGCAACACTGGAAGTATATAAAAATTCCTGGATAAAAACGTGTTTCCAGCACACAAGTCCAACATATGCTTCCAATACAATTCCTAAATGATTTTTTTTAAAGGCAAATACACATAGAGAGTAATCAACATGAAACTTTGCCCAGATCTTTACTCAGTCATTGCAAACACAAGAATATAAATTGTTCACTGAGTTTGAATTGTAATTACACGTCTGAAATATGAAGCCTGATGTGATTCTGAAGCTGATACCATACATCGTTGAAATATCTCCACTTATATTTGTGCTGTGCCTACCCTGGTTTTCAGATGGAGAAAATAAGTGGTTCTGTCAGAGTCTGAAATACTGTTATTGACGCTATCAACTACATCATACTACATTTGTTTGAGTTCTGCAGTTCTGTCCAATTTATGCTTACAGCAAGACCAAAGATATATACTCACAACTGAATAGCACTGTGCTGTAAAAGCCAAAGGCAACTTTATTACTTTGGTCTTTATATGTAATAGAGTATGCAGTGAATTTTAAAACTGATGGATTAATTTTCTCTGCACTCCTCTTTTTATATCAATTTCATAAGAAAGTCCTTCTCAAATTATGTTTTCTGTCTCTAGTTGTTGCTAAATTATTCATGTACAAGAATTCTAGCATACACATGCACAAAGTACCATTGCTGTGCACACACACAAATGGAATGTGCACAACTACTGCCTCTGAAGTTGAAAGCACAGGAAATTAGAAGAGCATTAGTAGAGTATCATTAACTTCTGCACATTTTACTCAGACTCTGTATTTGAATAAAAACAAAGCCCACCACTTTTCAATTTCACCAGAAGAACAGGAAGTGCTGAAATACTCCCCAACCTCTTAAAGTGTCTGAAGAACAAGGACTGAAATACTGCCAGACTAAAAATGTGAACACATATGCTAGAAACGCATGCAGGTTTCTAGCTGAAAGGTGACTTTCAGCCTCATGTGGCAACAGCAATTACTCTTTATGTCTGAACTTTCATGTGAAAAATCTGGCTCTGGGTTTTAGACTGCTAGCAGCTGGTAGCATGATCCAGCCCCTTGCACATTTCACAAAAATCCTACTCCACGAATGCTGTAATTTATAAAAAAATTAAATGCAGATATACTACCTGATAATATTATTATTTCCCTGTATAATTAATGATACTTGTTTATCTTCTATTTGAATATATACATTTAAATGTATCTACATGAATTTGAACAAATAGTTCAATAAATATATACCAAGGCAGGTAATATTAGCTTCACTGGTTGAGGACTTGCATAGCGTCGAGCTTTCCTTACTGCAAACTTCTCAGTCGGGATAGATTTTCCTGCAATTCTCTGTTTTAAACCATCCACTTGTCTACAAGGAGGAAAAATGGAAAACAAAAGTGTCTTAATGTAATTTTTACTTCATCTTATTTCATTTAGTAAGATTTGCTGTTTGCCTCTAACATAGAGCATCTGAAATTGTTTCAGGCCACTTAGACCATAATTGTAGGACATATGTTTGCAGATAAAAGCAGTACTTAAAATATTCTGATGCTAGAAGCAAAGAGAAAAACTGAAAAACTGACAGTTGTAATTAGCAAGTAAGTCATACAAGACAAAGATACTCATGTCAAAACCCTTTAAAAAGGAGAAAAAGGCTGCACATCTACTTGCTTTATAAAATTTTACCTGAATAAAGATACAATGTCCTCACCAGTCCTTTTCAAATCATCCTCTGGAAGCATACACAGAATTGACGCCTTCTGAAACACGTATATTGCCTATTTCCAAAAGAAATATCAACATATTACCACATTTAATTTGCTGTGCTCAGTCAACATACTAAGGACTCAAAACCTCTCACCCCACTTGCTACAGCAAACTGCTTCCAGTAACTCTCAGGCAGGTGGAACTCCAGAACTTTTGTTCCATTTGTCATATAATATACACTGTAATTTCATTTTCAACATATTTATTCATAGTCTAAAGTCCCTCAGAATGCTAAAGGCACCTCCTGCAGAGAACAGGCCAATTTATTATGCAAATCACTTATGAAGAAATTGCATTAAATGACATAACTATACTATACTCCATTGCTGTTGTTGTATGATCTGTTATGTGTAGTGACATGAATGAAAAAAAAAGAAATAGATATCTGAGTATTGATTCAAGGAAAGTTCAATAAATGGACTTTGCAGACAAGAAAAGGAAATCCATAATTCTATTCAAGACATTTGCACTTCATGTTGAACATATTATTTTCTTCCTCTTTCATCAACAATTGGATGTATCCCCTTTTCTACTAAGCATAATAGAACAGAAATCTAGAAACATCAAAAATTTGGTATCAAAAATTACTTGCAGATTGTGCTTGGTTCATCCTTTGAGAAACATTTTTACAAGGAAAAGGTAGATGCCCCAACTCTTCTCATGAGACAGTCTGCAGCAGTCTTCCTGCTTCCTGTCACAAAGCATCTTGTGTGCTCATCTGCTTATAGTTAACTAACAAACGCAGTTTCCTGGTCAAGCTCTACTAGTGAGTGTTAGGACTTGACCTGAGATGCAAGTTAACAGTTTTCCTCTGCCTATGGTTTCTCACAACTCCAGTAATTTTGGAGGGGTTGAAGCGTTGTTAGTGATGGCTGTAGTGCTTCAGAACATTAATTAACAATTCCTCCTAAACCACCCAGTTAAACCTACCACTGTTGTGCCATCATGCCTTGGCTTAAGGGTTTCAGAAGAAAGCAAAAATCACACTTATTGTGCAAACTGAAATGTAAATTTAACTGTGGAGAGAGTACTGGTATATCATAACGAAGTCCACCTGCCCATTTACCTTAGACCACCTGCTCTCTTTGCTGAGCAGGTCTGCATACCGATATGCTTGAAGCCAGTTCTGCTGGAATGTGCAGCACCACATCAGTTCCCAGTAACAGAGATGATGAATCTGTTTCCACTCTTGCTGGGCTGCTATGCATTCTTGGAACCTCAACTGTGCCTACAATGTAGTTAAGTAAGAACAATGAAAACTGACTTAATTACAGCTCTGTCTGAGAGCCACACCTAACAGACCAGTTTCCTACCTCCCAAGTGGAAAGCACCTGACCACTAAATGAAATAAACTACCCTTTCAGCCTCACTTACAAAGAGAGAGATGGAATCAATACTGACACTGAACATGAACAAGGATAAAAGCATAATTATCAATTGAACTAGAATAAGTTACTTAGATGATTTTTTTCCCCCCTCAAGTTGAACACTGAACAACTAAAAATCTTGAACAGAAAAAATCGATTTACCTTTTCAAAATTCCCTTTCAGTATATCTATTCTGGCAGCATAAAACAGAATAATGGAACCCTTGAAAGGAGATGAGAAAAATATCCAGTTACTATTTTAAGCTTCAGGAAGTACCTTGCCATTACAAAATTTATTGAGAATACACACATTTGGAAATTTCTGGAGGTAGGGTTCAAGGAGACTGTCTGCTTCCTGAAGGTTGGCTTCCCCTGTACCTAGAAAACATAACAAACCAACCTCAATGTACTTAAAAAAGAACAAGTTCCAGAGATTATGGTTTTGCCTTCTGAACTATATTATGGCTTGAATAGATTAATGGATGACTACTTTTACGCAAGAGAATTATTTCAGAATAATTCTAAGCAGAATTATTTCACTGTGTTGTGCTTCTGTAAAAATGAATTCTTGTCCAGAGAGTACTAGGTGCTTTTAAGATACTTAATGTCTGTAAGTAGAAAGAGAATAGAATATATGTGTATTCTTTGAATTATTCCATTATAGATCCTAGCTACATTTTTTAACCCCTTTAATTGCTCTCTCAAATTAGGAAAACATTCCTCAGCTGTCTCCTTTCCTAATTCTGAGCTCACTAACAATGTAAGGCCATGGCAAAGAAATTAAGTTCTCCTTAATTTCCTGATGAGCCTGAGTGACAGGGATTAAAATACTTCCAAACAAAAGAACATGAAAGTATGTATCAAAGATGCGTACAGAACTGATGGTGACTTTTAGCCCCATGTCACAAAAGCAATTAGTTCTCTACATGTCTGAACTTCCAAATAAATTGTTTGGGAGTATAGACTTCTTTCTGGAGACAGTTTTCATAATCTGACATTAATTTATGGATAAGGACTTGCTGAACTTAAAAGTACGTTGTGCTAGTTTGCTGTTGGATGTTTAGAGAGCCCTGCAAATGGAACAAGATGTCAGTATCTACGGTCACTGTTCCTGCTTTGTCAGTCAGAGATATTTGTTTCAGATAATAATTAAGCATACAGCAACCTCCTGCTACAAAGCTAACTGGCCACAGTTTTGAAATTCAGTTCATAAAAATCACAGTATCATCTATCATAATGTGTAGCATGACTGAAGAGCTACACATTTGATCTCACCAAGGATTAAGGAGACATAAGTATGATAAACCAACAGGGTGAAAGTGCACAGAATGGCCCTCAAACTACTGCCAGATGCGCCTTCCCGTAGTTGACAGAGGCCCAGCTCCTAAAAAACATCACAAACATATGCAGAAATAACTTAATAGTATATACAGTTACTATGAATTGTTTCTGACTCCCCCCAGATCCAGTTTCCCTTTCAGGCATAAATATTTCATAATTTGGCCTTTTTTTTGTCTCAGATGCAACATTTTACCTAAACAGTTTTGCCACAGCTCATGGCACTGAATTAGGAGATTAAGGTAACACTGAACAAAACTTATCTATGAATTTCAGTGCTCTGGTGAACTGAGGACCCCACACAGACCGTGCAGACACACAGGTCTACATCCCTTCCCCACTGCCTTCTGGCTACAAGTCTTTCAGAACAACATTTTTAAATCTGTGTTTGGTGGGAACCTCTCTCAACTGTTCAGTGCTACTTGTCAGCAAGAGTCTTCCTTCACAGACACCCCTGGTTATCCTCAATGCTCTTTCTCCAAGTCAGCCACTGTTCTGAGGTTCTGAACAACATATCAGCTCTGCTAACACACTGACTTCTAGATACTATTTCCAGAACCTGCAATGGAATTTGTGTGCACTGAGGAAAGGAATCCAGGTACATGGAGACTTTTTCAGCTCTTAAAGCATAAAATTTCTTCCCATTCTTTCCAGTTCACGCCCACTAAATGACAGCCTGACTGTGTGGAGCATTGCTAAGATGTGCTCAAAGTTTCCCTGCCTAAGAGCAGTGGCTCTTCAGACACATGCCAGATTTTAAATTTTGTCTCAAAACAAGTATTAATGGGAACTTTATTGCATAGCAATAGCTACAGCAGAATTCAAGCACAATACCAAAAAAAAAAAAACATGGTGATACTCCAAAATTGGTTGTTCTTTTCCTTTCAGCTTTTATTGCCTTTTCAGTCAGGGCAAAAAGGTGTATTATGGAAGAGCTTCAGCACGAACCAGGTTTTTCACAAAATGAACAGGTTTCTGCTGAAGTCTAATTTTACATAAGCAGAACCATAGTTGTGGACAACAGCAATAAGACCATAAGCTGACTCTTCATGTCATTAAGAACTTAAAGTTTATGTATAATTCTGTGGGTTGCTTTGTTTGGTTTGATTTTTTTTTTATGGATGCCAAAAAGAGTTTTAAGGGCTGTAAGATACTTACAAAACAAGGCCGGGTTTACAAGGCTATGATTACATAAACTTTCCTCATCCATGAGAAAAATATGCACTGAGATCCTACAGTGAAACGGAGTCTACAGAAATTCCTTCTCCAAAAGAAATACACTGGTAGGAAAATGTACAACTGTGACTCTCCCCATAGTTACTGGTATGAGGAACATTACTTTTGACTGTAGAGGCTTCAGAAGAAAACTGATATCCTCTCTTTAAGAATCAGAAAAAGGAAAGGTAATTGCAATTTGAAAACTCCCTCTGAAGCAGAGTAGTAATTTCCCATGGTTGGCCAAGATCAGGATATCATATAGGCTTCTTTGTCTGCATCATCTAGCTTACTTCACATCTTCTTAATGCTAAAATACTGATAAGAATATAGAACATTGTACTTTTGGTGTGAAGTATATGACATTAAATCCATGCAGTCTTTAGAAAGGACTAATTTGACAGAACAAATATCAGATCCAATACCCTGTTGCCAGAAAATCCAATAAATTCTAGAAGCCGGAGAATCCTTCCTGGTAAAAGTGACAGCATCTGAAATAGATTTGAAACAAAAATGAGACAAACAAAAACTTATATGCATTAAAAAAAAAAAAAAAGTAAAAGCATTATGACCTTGAGCCAAAAATGCCAGCTCCTATGTTAAGTGACATTGCACATTAGTGAAAAAATAAAACACAAAAGAACTCAAAAGTAGATACATGTGATCAACAATACACAGTCTGCAGCTTCAGCAAAACTGTGGTGGTCATCCTGCATGGGAACAGCAAGACAGAGTCCAGCCCTGCTGCTGCAGGTAATGACAGGATTTTCTGTCTTCAGCTGATCAGAATTGTTTGGAAGTTGTGAGTCATTTGGAATGAAGCTAATATCTATTTTGGTAGTACTTACAATCTACAAGTGTCACCTCCCTTTATTCCCAATCAAAAGACACAAAGCTATCACAGAAGTTCTACTTGTTCCTACTATGAGAGGACCGAATTGGCATACCAGTAAGCATACAAGCTATTGGATCATTTCGTAGCCCTCTACCATGCACTTTTTTGTTCCCCATGTAAATGCACTATCCACATCCTACACAGCAGAACATCTATATAGAGATCACAACCACCTCCTCAAAAGGCATTACACTCCAAGGTCAGATTTTGAAAGCTTCGTTCACCTAACACACCCTGCCCAGCAGAGACTCCTTCTATTAAGCTTCCTACTGAGGAGGCTTCATGCAGAATACGAAGGGTTGAAGCACTTATGAACACATGCATCTACTGCTTGCTTGGGTTTTAAAGACAACAGATGCCAGTAGACCTCAGGTCTTTTTCACCATATTCAAAACTGGCCAGCTCCAGTTTGGAATGATATAGAAATTAACATACCTGCAGAAATCAACCCTTACAGTTGCCACAACGGATGTGAAAAGGCAACTGTAGTAGATTGTAAAGAAAAATGCTAGTGGATGATGTACACAGTTTTCTTTGCATAAACTCACTAAAGTACTGCTCATTCTTCTGAATATGTAGTTACCTATGACAACCTACAGTATGCTACTGAAGCAACAGAATGGTATACATTGCAATGTTAGAACAAAACCAGTCACTCTAAGTATCCTTCAACCAACAGCATAAGCATCTTTAAAATTCCTGGTACAGACAAGTAGATGCAGCTGCTTTTCCTCTTAAGAAATACATACATTAGACCAAAAGAATTAAAGACAATGCAGAATAAATTAATAGAAATACCCTAGAAGGCATACATACAAAAAGCCACAGCTGTTTTCATACTGCACAAAACGTTCAAAGCCTGGCTCTCTATTTTACAAGTGTCTAGTTCTTAGAATAGTATTACAGTACTGCATCTGCAAAGAAAGAATCCTACAGAAGTATCCCAATGGCCTTTCTGTAGCCTGAAAAAGTCATACCAAGTTGAATGCTCCGATTCCAAGTTTTACTCCTCCTTCAAACTGGTAATACGTTTCATTTTTGCTTTTGTTCCCCTGAGCCATCTGTAGCACCTGATGACATTCTCTATTGATGCAAGGAAAAAAAGGAGGGAAGGGAAAACATGACTTAGAATTTATATTAAGTATAATCATTACAATTGCTATAAAAATACTTCTTTTTATTTTGAAAGCATTAATGCAACTACATCTGCCTATTCCAACCCTGAATGGCTTTCTAATGGCTTACTTGTATATTTGGTAACTTGTCCTAATTTTGAGGCCACCTTTGATAAAGTTGATCATATTTTCATCCTGGAAGAAAAGCATTTAATTTTATAAAAGTGTGCATTCAGCTCTTACATATAACACATACATACAAATCGTCCAGCCACACTTAAAATTTTTATAACTTAACGATTATTTGAAATATTAAATAATGCTTTTCCGTTATTAGGCTCATCAGTAAGCCTGAGGTTAACACTTCAAGTTGTCCGGGAAACATCTCTCTGCTACATGTTACAAACTTTAGAACTTAAGAAGCAGGTGAAAAAAAAGCAGAGCTACTTTTAACAGCATTTCCAATGCATGTAAGTGAAACAAAAAGCTCTCCACCAGATGGTGCTGTAGGAACTTTTAAGGAAGTTTTGAAATGCCAATTCTGATGCACATAAGCCAGCCCGTGACCTGACAAGAAAACAAACAAAATCCCCTGAACAGATGAATTCCTGTTGCTGATGTACTACCCAACATACGTGCTAATTAACCTCTACCAAAAAAAAAAAAATAAAAAGTCAAGCCACAATGTACTAGCCATCAAAAATAAATTCCTGGAACTCAAGATATTTGACAGCTGAACAGGACAGACTTTTTTTCCTCTAAGAATTCACACAGAAGGGGAACATGTACATGCATTTCAGATATGCACGTTTAAATCCTCAGGAAGAGCATTTGTGATGCAGAAAAATAAAAAGCACAAAAAAGCCCTCAGACTGGTCAACCAAAGGAAAATCTGGCTTCCATAAAAGCGTAACAACTTCAGTAGACCTCAATTGTTTTATCTGCAAGACTGAACAGCCAAACACAAGAGGTTTAGTACAAGCATTCTAGCTCTGTCTTTCTGAATGGTTACATTTTCATCATCCTCATCCTCATATGAATCAAGCTTGCTCAAGGATGAAAAGCATGGAACATGACAGCAATGAGCAGAGTGTTAAAATGTATTTAACTAAAATTAAGATGTATTAAAATCAACAGGAATGGAACTCTGACATGATGGGCAGTAAGATGCTGCTTTAGAGAAAGCATACTCTAAGTTTTTTGTCATTTTATACAATCCTAAACTCACCACCTTCAACAAATTTTTAAAAATTCTCTTCAAGGTTACAAAAAAAAACTATAAAACAAAAAACAGAGTTGCTTTCATCTGGTTAGTAAAGGATAAAGTCAATTACAGGAAAGACAAGCATCCTATTAATAATATATCCTGACACTTCCAGCCAAAGTACAATATTAAGTGGTTTATAAAGCTTTGCCAGATTAACTTTTTAGATCCACCTGATCTTAGTATCTTCGTCTTGTTTATTCCTTATAATTTATATCTGAAGGGATTATCTAAAATACATTAATTAAACATTCACAAAACAGTTACATACCTAAAAGAAGCATATTTAATAACTCCCATTTTCAGGAATCAAATTTCAAATTTAATTTGAAAACATTGCAGCATGAAGACCCTAAACCATAAGCTAAACAAGAAGCACCAGACAGCTAGTATTAAACACTAGATCTTCCTGTAAAATGGATTATTACCTCAGAAGCACTAAGGCATGCTCATTTTACAATCACTTGCTACTGTATTCTTCCTGACACCATGTCAAAAGTGCATGGAAGAGTAATACTGAACTGGAGGCAAGTGTTCATCAGCTGAAGTTCTGTTAGTTGGGAAACATCCTGTCTTTTTCATGGGAAACAAGACTTGCACTGCCAAACAAGCTATTTCCTCATACTTGAAGATCTTTTTGAACAAGTGCTGGGCACTGTCAGAAGTGATGGAAGTCATTTAAACACACCATCTGTGCAAGACTACAATAAACCTTGGTTTTTTAGTCCTGGGTATCAATAATATCTTTGGCTATTCATATAAACAAAGAGAGGGTTTTGTTGTGTAGCACAGCATTTCCCATAGTTCCAACCACTGCCACGAAATAACATTCATTCACTAGGAAAAAGTTTGAGTTTTAAATACTGTATCTATTGTGTGAACGCTGTTTTATGTGTACTAACATCTTTCCATTAAACTGCTACACAGAAATACAAAATAAACAATTGCCTTTACCTGGACGAAGGTAAGAGCTGCTTTCTGTAGTAAGCATTCAGCATAGCAGATTTCAGCATGCATTTCCTCTACATAAGAAAGAAAAGTTATTTACTGTCAGCAAAGTTATTGTCAATATTCTCTTCTCAGAGTCAATGGAACAATTAAATGCTGCCAAGAAAATAAAAAAAAAAAAAAGCCAGATTCTGCTGTTGCTGGTTTTGTAACTGATAACAGCTATAACACACAAATCCCAATAGAAAACCTATTTTGCTCCTTAGACAAAAAACAAAATTGAAATTGCCAGAGCTGACTTTAGCCTAGGGCAAAAGCTACTTGTCATTCTGGTGGATGATCTGCTGTACTTTCTATCGATCCTAAGTTCAAGCACCAGTATACAGCAGCTAGGTCTTCCAACCTTCCTTCCATATCTTAGAAAAAACTATTACAGATGAATGGCAACACTCACAGTGGCTCAGGCTTTTCTTAAGTCCAGTAAGACACTGTGGACAGGTTTTCCCCAAATCATGCTTAACAAGCTGAAAGCCCCAGGCAGACCTTCTGTCCCCATGCAGCACTGAAGTACATTTGACTTAACACACATGACACAAGTTATTCCGCACCCATGCTGCAAGACCAGGCACATGCACAAGGCTGCTGTATGTACAGTGCACATGTGGTGAGTTTGATGTGTTCAGTATTAAACAGGAGTCTTTTGTGCCAGGTTAGAAAAAAATGCATACTTGATTCTGCCTGAATCAGAAATAGGAGATCAGCATTTTCAGAGCCATGAACAATGTACTGATACCATTTCCCAAAACACCTTAAGGCAAAACAAACAAGCACAAAACTGGTTAATATATTCAGATTCCAGTGCAATTGATGACAAGGACGTATTCCACAGTGTTAATGGTTCTTAAACTTTCAGGAGCTGTTTTAAGTAAAAATAAATAAATAAATAAATAAAATCCTCAAATCCTATGTGTTGTGAAAGGCATTTTTTTCTTAATTCATGCATGCCCAGAGCCAAAAACAATTTAAGTCTAATCCCATTTTGTGAAGCTTGGCATTCAAATTTAAAAACCCCCAACATACAAGTTGTTCATTTGTTTTTTACTGTGAGGCACTAGTCAAGTTTCAGACTTAAGCAGATTCATACACATTGATAGGGTGTTTTTGACCTTTTTGTTTCACTTTATTAACTGTATTATAAACCACTTACCTTCAGATAGCTGATCCACTGGGTGTTTAGAAACTAGATTGGACAAGGATTCCACCATTGTGCTTCTCTTCCTGAATCTGTATCAGTTGTATGTGAAAAACAAACAAAAAACCCCACACAGCATCAGCAACATTTCAACACAAACTTGAACTCAGCTATTTCTAATTCTTAACCATTTGCAACCACAATTTATAGTCACTCTTAGTACAGTGATGATTTGCCAATAATTGCAATTATTTGAGTAGCCTAATCATGGCCACTGCCTTGCATCTAGTCTCAGAAGCCTTTCCAAATTTAATTGATCTTCCAAGCATGCATTTAATCTAACTTTAAATGCACAATAGCTTCCACTCTGCTTCCACCCACCAGCTGCAGAGGTCTCTGGAACTGTGCAAATCATTTGAACTGGACTTCAAAGTTTTATGAATCGTTGTTTTCCATGATGCCAAAACAATCACATATTTGACTTTCAACAGATCCCAACTGTCCGTGCTACAAATTGCTAGTTCATTTTAGTACGGCATTCCAAAAAGGAACGTTACTATTTACAAACAAGTCAGATTGATAAAGAAACTAAAGAAACAATCCTGCATTCAGTAAAGGAATGTACTTTGTAAGTCAGGAAGTGGTCAATTATAAATACTGAGCATTAGCTTATTGTTGTGCATACACTATTCTGCACACTGAAAAGTGCAGGATCCTGACAAAGAGAAGATGACACTAAAGGTTAACATAATGCATACACAAGAACTGGTCAACTAAGGCACACATAGTTCTGGTAATTCTTCATCCTTGTGTATATGATTGCTACTTATCTTGTAGCTTTATGAGTTCTGTAGTGGACTGGACTACAGCTCTTATGCATAAAAGTTTGTATCCTGGAGAGCTGGAGGCCCTTATAGAAACTGTCTGAAGTAAAAAGAGGCATTTAATTTTCAGACATACTAAACACCACAATTTGGATGAAGCTGTCAATTGACAGCACAACTGAAAAAGAGGCAGCAAACGCTGACCCTTTATTTCCTTCAGGTACTGACAGTTCTGCTCTGTTTCCTTTTCTTCTGTTTGTCATTGCTAAGGAGGTGATGTTAAACATCTAAACTAACAACACATCACATTAGTGAGAAACTATTGCCTAATCAAGCTGATGAAGGACCAGTACAATAGAATAAAGCAATAATTTCTGTTTTTTTCAGAGGCCTGTTAAGCAATCTAGCTTTGACAACCTATTTCCTAAGGTTTTTTAATTAAAAAAAGTAAAGGTCACTAATAACTTCTATATTCTTCCCTACTTCATTGTTCCAAGCAAGACTACACGCAAAAACTTCAGATCATTCTTAACGATCCCCGCTGAATTTTTAAGGTAAGCTAATCACATTTGTAACAATAAAATAATTGGTTTGGCTTTATAAGAAACCTCAGTACAACCTTAACGCTACTAGACTATTTGGTCCACCTTTGAAAACAATTTTTTTTTTAAAAAGTATTTTTCCTGATGAAAGGGAAAGTTCAAAATATGCAGCTTACAAAAAGTCACAGGTTGAAATAGCCCAGGCAGTTCAATCACGTAGTGTCAGCTTACATGTAGGTCTGCAAACCATTTAACTGGCTTTAAAGACTATACATGCCAGACCTGGCATATCTGCTGTTTCTGCAATACCAGGAAACATATCCTTACTAACAATAATTGGACAGAGTTACTCCCATCTTTCCAAATGTAGATTGCTATCATACTGACAATACCCTGCTTTGAAAGTGTACAGGCAGCTGGGGTATCTTACAAAGAACCCTTAGTGGATTAAGTACCTCATAAACATTCACTGCTTAGGTTTACCTTTGGCAGGTTTGCAAAGCTTCTTTCATTGTAGAAATTCCCATTTGTATATCCTGCTGTTCAAAGGTCATAGCAGCTTGCATAACTAAAATAGTGCTGTACCCAAGGGCATGGTACATACTATCTTTAGACCTAGGGCAAACATAAAGATCTTTTGCATTTAATCCAAACTTGAGACACTTGCATTAAGTTGTGAAATGACAGAATCATAAAGCAGGAAAGTAATGGACATGGGAACATAACCTAGCACCTATCATCTTCCATTGTGTGCTACTTACCTGCCTCCACAGCGTACTGTCATAGTAAGTTCCAGAAAATACCCAAACTGGGTTAGACAAATATTTGCACTTGATTATATCCCGTTTATAGTCTGCTGGCATATCTATTTAATTTAGCTAATTAAGCCTTGACATAAATACTTGTTCATCTGCTTTCACTTAACATAAGAAGTAAAGACATACTTCTAACATTGGTACTTGATTCGAAGAAACAAAAACTTGTATTTCTGTCACAGAGAAGTCAGCACATACACAGTCTATGAAAGGCTACATTGAACCAGAATTAAAAACCTAAAACTGTTGTTAGAAGTGGCTACAGGAGATCACACACGAAAACCTACCAGTTGCAGCAGCACCATTGCCAATGTTATGTTAGGTGAACTCAGGACTTGTCTAAACAAAGTTTCAAGAGGTTGAAGAAAATGAAGACTGCATATCCCTCTGGTAGCCTCTCTAGTATTCTGCTAATTATGTACTTTTTTCCTACTGTCCAGTTTGAACCTCCTAAACCTCATCCTGTGATGACTGCCTCGTTTTACCGTCTGCCACTATGGAGAATGATGTCTCTGTCTCTGCAACTTCCCCTCAGTACTGCTCAAGATTGCTCTTAGACTAATGCTCAAGTTTTCTTTTTGCCAAACTAAGACAAACCCAGCTCCTACAATCTTAAGGAAATCTTATGTTCTTGTCTTCTGCCCGTGCTGCTAGCCCTCTTCTGGACCCTCTCTAGTTTCTTCAACTATTTTTCCTCCCCCTAAATCAAAGCATCACCCATCAAGTGTAGTTTTGAAGAGAAGACACTTGAGTGGAGTCAAGAAGCTAGACCCTTGGTTCAAGTGTTTATTTCTTAAATATATCAATATGTTCCTTAAAATTTTTACATTATTTAAGGACTTTAACTTCCATTAGAAGGCTATTTTTCAGAAAAACAACAGGGCTTTTTCTTTTTTAAGGGTGACATTTTGTTTCCTTGCTAATATAGCAAGAATAGCTTAATATGCTATATAATAAGCTCAAAGACTACAAGTTGCCAGAGACACAAAGCACCAAAACATGGACTTCAGAAATTTTTTTTAGTTTGTAGCAAACATCATATAAGACAAATACCGCATTTTACATAAAAACACTATTGTATGAAACAGGATTTTTGTTTTACAGTGCAGTATGATGTATCGATATGAAACACAGAAGAAACATTTGGGTCATATGTACGTGTGTGTGCTTACTAATACACATGCAATCCTTGCATGTAGGACTTAGTATTTTGAACTACTACCCCAAAAGTAGTTCTAGCATACACAAGTGTAAAGGGGCCTTCTCAAAGCACTGCTCTTTTACAAATAACACTGCACAATGCTCAGAGAACACCTTTTCAGTGTAGGTACAGCTATTCTGAAAAGGTGTTACTCCTCTACACTAGAGCCCACCACTTGATCGCAGTGTCACCCTCCCAAGGTTTCATTTAGCCGTGTTCTTCCACATGTCTGTAACTACTGAAGTAACAACATCAACCCAATTACAGACAAACCAACAAACTGCAGAGAGAGAACTTCACCTTGCTCTACTAACACAAGCCACATGCCCCTCTCACTGACACATTCCTCAAGATCATACACATCTTTGCAAGACAGACAGGAGAAGACCAGTGAACAGCATTCAGGTCCCAGTCCTAAAGAACAGCTACCCAGATTGCTTACCCACACAGTCACAGGCAAACTAGGTTTATCCTACAAACCTTTTGATATTCTTTAGTTCCCTACATCTGCACTGCCATGCTTTTCTTTGCAGTGAAGCAAAGGCAATAGGGGAGCAGGCAGAATCTGTCAGGAGATCAAAAGGTAGGCTTTAAGGGTATACACTACTGTGTCTCAAATATAATATAAAAAGCAACAAAAAAGAGTATTCTGGAGTTTTGTTCCAGCTTTGTTGTCTTGGCAAAATTAGTTCCATTGTTCAAAAATTAGGATCTAAGATACACCTGATAATGTCTTCCTCCCTTGCTTTTCCCCTGTGCATGAAGAAAGATAGCTTGAATGATGAACTCTAACAGAACAACTCCATGCCTCATTAACAGCTTTTGTGATTATCTTAAGGAGAAAGGAGTCCACTGCTAAAAACCAAACATACTGAGAAATGCTTTTGGACAAAAAGAAATACATGAAAACCACTACAGAGGCCTTGAATTAATCCTAAACTACCAGAGAGCATACTTTAACGTCTCCATTTACAGTAACTTCAAGAAATAACAGGACCTCACCATGGGCGAAGCAGTTCCAGGGCTTCAGAGAACTTATTGTTTAGAAATAAGTTCAATGCCATTGAACATTCTTCCAGAGCACACTTGAGATCCATCTTGGATGCCCTAAAAAATAGATCCTCAGTTTAGTCAAAACGTAAAAATAAACACAAAAGTAAAAAAAAAATTTTTCTTTCTTTATTTATAACAATTTTATTACTCATTTTTAAAATCCAGCTTTATAAAGTCATATGCTTAACACTTTATCCATGCTACATGAGTGTGCCCTCCTTACTTATTTAAGTGATACTTATGTCTTTGCCCTCCTTTTTTTACCAGTCACTATGCAATGGAATAATTTTTACTGCTACTTATAGAACACAAATACTCAAAACTTATCATTGTGTCCAAGCTCTCAATTCTCCATATCAGTACTAATGCTGTTTCAAGGTTCTGTATTCAGATCTAAATCTTGAGAGATGACAAAATAGTATGTCTGTCCACAAAAGCAGTGAACAGATGCCTACTCTGCAAACAACTATGCCAAAAATAGTACTGTCAGAAGGCTGCAGCTACACCAGCAGCTTTTATTATTCCAAATTCACTACAGGTAAAATCCCTTGCACTTGCTTAAAAGGAAGCCATCTAACAAAACCACTGCCTCAGCCAGTTTTTGTGAAAGTCTTGGGAGCACTCACAAATTGCTCCCTGGGCAGGACTGGTGACAAACTGGACATTCATGATAGTGGTGAATAGCTAGAAGCTACACAGCCTTCCATGTGCACAGCTGGATTTGGAAAAGAATCTGTCTACAGCTTTAAAACAACAGGTTTAGGCTCTATAATGGGCTTTATTCAAGCAAGGTTAACCAGTGGTAAGCAACAGATCATGCAACCTCCCCTGCTCACCTCCTTTCTCCATCACCCAAAAGCTTCAAAAACATTGGGGTTTTTTTTGTGGTTGGTTTGTTGGGTTATTTTTTTAGCCTTTCTGGGGCAGAAAACTGGGATATGGCTAAATACCATCCCAGAACTACTTTCCAGCTTTATTTTCTGTCACATTTCTAATGGCATTACTTGAAAAATTCATCTTCTGTAGAAAAATAAGATCTCCTACTCAATACTTGGTAACCACTAGATATTTATTATTGACCATACCATGCAGCAAATCCTTCCCTTCATAATGAAGCAGTGCATTGAACGACAGTCAAAATCTGGCTGTTTTACCATCAGACTGTTACCAACAATTTTAAATACAATTTAAAACCCTTTATCTTCTTCCATACTAGGATTCAATTTGATCATTATAGATCACAATTTTAATCTTCATGTAATTTCATTGAAGTGCTGGAGTTTAAACCCCCAGCCCTGAATGAAGGTTGGCACATGGATGATGTCCGCAACCAGATAAGAAAGACCATCCTAACTGGTTTTCTCCCAGAGTCTGGCCAGCCTTGGGTGAGAATCAGTTAGGAGGTCACCACCAGAGTGCCTCCACTGCTGAAACTAACATCTCGTCCCACCCCAAAATTAATCACATAAGAGCTAACTCTGCTTGCAGTGGTGTTGAGGGAGCCTATTCACATAGCAGATGTACTGTGTAGGGATTCCAGTTATTGGAAGGGTTCCCTGACTCTCTGCTTCAAGTAGAGTTCCCAGCAACGGCAGGACAAGATCCAGGTGGAAAGAGGATTATGTACGTAATGATGCCTTTCCCTGGCAATTTTTATAGTTGGAATTGGACTGACAACTTGGATTTTTGACTCGGCTCATTCCTCCTTTTGTTACATTATGCACCATGAGTGAGTATCTCGACTTGATTACTCCTCCTGTTGTGTATCACATTGTACCTTTTCTGTATTCTTTGGAATGACGTAGTAAAACTTGACCCCTATGCCTCCTGCTAATGCTTTATTCTTTCATGCTGGGGCAAGTGGTCAACAATTCATGTACCAAAAACCTACAGATCTTAAAAGCTGATGCATTTGTAGCTCTGCTGTTACTATTAGCCACCTCCTAAGCTTTCACATCCTTCAGATGCACACACACTACAGGAAAGGTCATATTCTCAATGCAACCTACATCTCTGGTCTCCAGCTGTCCAACAAAAGTGTCACTGTCACCAGCAGAGAAGTGGCACCGTGGTAATCCAAGTTAACCAGAGCAAGTCTTACCAGCAAAGTGGCCTCTTCTCTTCCCATGTGGGTTCCTGCCTGCCCTGGTTTCATTCCAAGATCTAGTCCTAGGTGAGGGCCTGGGGAATGAGCACTGCAGCATGGCCCACATTTGCCCTACTGTATAGGTATAGGTACTAAAATCTTAATGAGCCTGTACTGATTAGTGCTGTACGGCTACTGGACAGCAAGCAAACCTACTCCATTCATGTTCTCTTCATTGCTGGCCTCTGTCACCAACAGCATGGTGTCCTGTTGCCACTATCAGTTGAGGTTTTTTCACATAAATACCCTTAAATTGCCTTCCAATGTTCTTAAAGTATTTCAAGGAATTTAGACCTAAGTTTACTTGGGTATATGTATGAACACACAGGCCCCAATAGCACATAAAAACCTTTTACCCTGCTGCAGGGAGACCAAAAAAAAGTCAGTATTTTGTTACCGTTTTCCATATATAACTCATCATACCCTAGACTGCACTGGAAAATATAGAACATAAAGGTACAATTTATAATTCAGACTACATTGGCTAATGTTACTTAACTTGTTAACTAGACATTCATTTGTTACAAGGCAGTTCCACTAATTATAGGAGTATATTATGGTTTTTAATTTTATTCAGAAAGCTTTACATTGTGTATTTAAATATAAATGCACTGGATTTATTATAAATCTTAGCTTTGAGACTACTTTAACTAAATTGTCACAACTGAACTGTAAAAAAAGTGAAGTTTGGTTCGTTTGGTTTTTTTTTTTTTCCATTTTCATGGCCTAAATCTTCTGTTATGCAAGCCTGTGTGATTCATTTTCGCAAGACAGTTGAAAATCAAGGCTATTCAATAACAGGAGTATATCTGAGTAATTCCACAGCTTTGTTTTTCAAATTCCCTGGCTACAAATACTATATCAAAAGTTTCTGAAGCACAATTCTAAATGAAAAACTGGAGAGGGGAAAAAAAAAAGAGTAGTAGCGTTGTTCCTAGATGGTTAAAAAAGTGAGACACCATTTTCACTATGAATTCAACAGGATCACGCACAGTTTTTGGTTTCCCCTTTTAATACAGTTTGCTTCATCTCTCTGAGTTTTTCATTTCTCCTCTCTCAAACACCCCAGTTCCTTCTTTTCATTAGCTCCTCCTAGATGAGGGGGAGAGTTGCATATGAAGCATATGAATTTTTATCAGGAAGCAGCAATTTGCTGTAGGTCACATAGAACTTCCTTCTTCACGTTTCAGTGGACACTGCTTTTTATCTAAATGATGTTACCGATACTGAAATTAACAGGGGACTTTGTACTTCTCAGATCTAACTGGAACAATCTTTGAAAAATCAGATCAGACATTACACAATAAATGCAAACCACCACTTGACATTTGTGTCTTGCACAGATTTACAGGCCACAATGCAGATGTTTTGCACATCCTAGCTTGCAAATTGAGAAAACAAAACAACCTGTCTGAGTATTTAGTTTGAATACCTGCCAAAGCCTCAGCCTGTAACACCTCTTCATCCAGGCTCTGGTACTTTGGGAGGATCAGGGGAACTACAGACGAGATTATAAAGCATCCCTCCTCTTTGGCAAAAGAATGGATTTAGCACCTCACACTACATCTGCTCAATTGGTTCAAGCTTCCATATTAAACCATCATCAGAAATAAGTATGATTAGGATCCTCTGCTTCCGACCCAGTAAAGCAGGAGTAAAATGTTTATCGAAACAAAGAAAGAAATTGTACTTTAGTGCATTCAAGCTCTGAATACGTAAACAAATCTGTTCAAATTAAAATATTTTTATGAGCAGTGGGGAAATGTATGTCTTTAAATGTCCTCTTCAGATGCCTTAAATAGCTTGCCCTCCAAAGAACAGTTAAGAAATACAGACAGACTCAGTTATAATGACTGGAAGTTTTGTAAAACATTCAATTTTGTTATCTAATTCCATGAATACCATCTGCTAACAAATAGTTTTTGAAGAGTTTTCAGCTAGATTTAGAAGCCAATAAGTATGTCACAGTTTAGGGTCAGGGCTGTCCAGCAGACCTATAACAGATGCTCTCTGTTAACCCCTCTCCATTCCTCAAGGGGAAGAGAAAGGGTAAAAGGGAAGAAAGACTTATGGGTTGGAAAATGAAACTAAAACAGCTTTAATGAAAATAATAATAATCAAATGGAATATATGCTAAACCAATATCAAACCCAGCTCTCCCCTCATAGCAAGTATGTCACCACTGCCTCTGATTCTCTGGGCAGACACTGGAGAATTTCCAGACTGGAGTCAGTGGCAGATTCAGGAACTGGATTCAGACCCCTGCTTGGATCCCAGCCATTGAAGAAGAGAGCTTGACCCTTGTGATCCCACAGATTTATACAGAACACAATGTATATGGCATGAAATACTTATTGGTCAGTTTAGGGTCACCTGTCCTGTCCGCTGCTCCCCGCAGTTGCAGACTTTTAGTTTCTGCACCCCCAGTGTGATACACATGACTTAGCAGTGACCCTGATTTCTACAGGAGCAAGTATAAGCAAGAGTCTTTCTCCATGCAGAAAAAAAAAAAATCCAAAGCCATAAGGCTAGAAGTTTGAAATGATGTGTAACTGACATAAATCACTTCCTATCCTAAGCTATTATCATCATTAATACAGAAAGCCTACAAACTACAGCTATCAATCAGTACAGCAAATGCTAACTTCTTATTATCCATACAGTAAATCCACTAGTCACAGTTCACCTCCACAGTAAATTCTGCATTCATTATGTACATATTCCTTTTTATAAGGAGCATGAATTTTAGATAAAAGAAACTGTGTACCTTACACATTCAGTGGAAATGTTATCAGCTTATGGGAAGCATAAAAAAAAAGGGCATTGATGCTTTGTAATGTTCAAGAAGAGTGGTGATTCTGATGGTTTTTAGTTTATAGGATTCCTCTTCCCCTTCCTCCC